AATAATTCCTCATTTAATTTCATTTTTCCAGCTACCTGTTGAACTATGGCCATAATTACATTCGTGGGCAGGTGTTTCTCCTAATTATTGCTCCTGCCACGCTCTGAATTCCTGGAGCTGCATCCCAGCAGCCTCTCTCCAAAGAGACAAACTGCTAAAATTAAAGTCACCACACGGGTGCTTTCGCTTCTGTCCCGCTGACACTTCCTCCCACTGCATCACCCAGAGCTGGGAGGATGTCTCGGCCTCTGCCTTCCTCCAACAGGTTGAAGGGTTTGGTTCCTGGAGGGATCCCTGGAGAGGCTGCTGTTCTGATCACTGCTCTGAGCCGATGAGAGTGCAACAAACCCCCTCTGTGCCCCCCTGTCTTTCAGATTCCCCAAACCATGGCCTGCTACGAGCGCTGCTCGTCCACCTCCTGCGGGCCCACCCCGCTGGCCAACAGCTGCAACGAGCCCTGCGTGAGGCAGTGCCAGGACTCCACCGTGGTCATCCAGCCCTCGCCCGTGGTGGTGACGCTGCCCGGGCCCATCCTGAGCTCCTTCCCCCAGAACACCACCGTGGGCTCCTCGGCCTCGGCCGCCGTGGGAAGCGCCCTTTGTGCCGAGGGGGTCCCCATCAACTCGGGCAGCTCCCTGGGATTGGGGAGCTTTGGCTACCCGGGGCTGGGCGGTGGCTACAACCGGCCCTACCGTCGCTACGGCGCCTTCCGCGGCGGCTTCTACGGGCCCTGTTAACGTTTTCTGTGAGAGGGGGAAAGAAATCACCAGGGATTGCTGAGTTCCCACCCAAAGAAGGACTGAGCTCACGGCCACAGCTTCCAGATGTAACTTCAGGCACCCACCACCTCCTCCCCTCCTGAAGCGAAGGGAGCTGTGGGAATCCATCATTCCCAAAAACGAGGCCACCGCTCCCGTTTTACTCTGCATTTCTAGTCCAGTCTGTAGCTCTGCTGCTTCTCAGTGTAATTCGGTGTAAATGTTTAAATTTCGAGAGGAGGGGGGGACTTGATGGTCGAGGTGCAATTCTGCACTGAGAGGAGAGCTCTGCCTCTGGGATGCAACCCACGAGCTGCGCCCTTCTTCCCATGTTGGCCCCTGATGCTTTGCAGTATTTTTAATCCACTAGTTGGTCTTAATAAAGTGTTGCTGTTGTGGTATCTCCAGTCTTCTGGTGTTTTTTTTCCCCATCCCCTCTTATTTTCTTCTGAAACTTTTCCTGGGTGAAGTTTATCACCGAGTGGATCATCACTAGGCTGAGAAATCTGGGGGGCTGGAGAGGAGAAGGTGGTGAAGAGACCTCAGAGCACCTTCCAGGGTCTGAAGGGGCTGCAGGGGAGCTGGAGAGGGATGTTCATCAGGAACTGGGGTGTAGGGACAAGGGGAATGGGTTCAGACTGACAGAGGGGAGATTTAAGTTGGATACTGGGGAGGAATTCCTCCCTGTGAGGGTGGGGAGGCCCTGGCACAGGTTGCGCAGAGAAGCTGTTACTGCCCCTGGATCCCTGGAAGTGTCCAAGGCCAGGTTGGACAGGGTTTGGAGCAACCTGGGCTATTGGGAGGTGTCCCTGCCTGTGGCAGGGGGTGGAAATGGATGAGCTTTAAGATCTTCCAACCCAACCATCCTGTGATTCCATAATCCCTACCAGGCAATGACACCATACAAGGAACACCAGGGTCACTAATTAGAGAAGAGCACATTTAGAGCCCGAGATCCAGAACAGGTTTAATTTTGCAGCTGCAAAATGCAGATTGATTCCACTCTGACTCATCAGAAACCTTGGCTTTTGGCATCTCTGCCAAGAAACTGTTCTCAAGGCTGGAAGCCCTTCGTGACCCACCTGCATGGCAGGGGATCCAACCCGGCACAGAATGATACTTGTTTGAAGCACTCCTGGTGTGATTCATAACTCTGAATAACTGACCTGGAGCTGCAGAGGGCACAGAAACATTTCACAGACTCATGGAATGGTTTGGGTTGGGAGGGAGCTTAAGGATCATCTCATCCCATCCCCTTCAACTAGCCCAGGTTGCTCCAACCCAGCCTTGGACGCTCCCAGGGATGGGGCAGCCAAAGCTTCTCTGGGAAACCTTTTCCATGGCCTCACTCCCCTCACAGTAAATTTTTTTCCCCATTATCCACCTAAACCTCCTCTCTGCCATTTCAAGCCATTCCCTGTTGTCCTGTCACTACGAGCTCCTGCAAACAGTAAATCCCTGTGAGTAAATTGGTTCTGCTAAAATTAAGGACCTGAGACATAAATGAGATGTGCAACAACCACTGAAGCTGCTCAAAGAGTCAGTTGGGGGAAAAAAAATTGGAGAGATTCTCACGTTGGGAAGATTTGGGGCATTCTAATAACTTATGTAAATGATTAAATAATTATTAAAAATATAAATGATCGTAAATTGTATAAATTACGTTGCAGCAGCTTCAGTTGTCCCCAGTAGTTAAATCATTGCCAGCAGTTAAACTGCTCATGGTTTATGTACCAGTCTCCCCCTGGCACCAGATGAAAAACCTTCCTCAAAGCTTCTTTCATCTCCAGGACCTGAGGATGGTTTGAATGCCTTGTCCCATCACACGCCAGACTCCCAGGTCAACGTGATGACACAAATTTCAATTAAAGGAGTTAATTTGTCAGCTCTTGTGGCAATTTGGTGCCTCCAATTTTTTTTTTTTTTTTTTAATATTATCTACCCACCCAGACAAACTGTTTCTGTGCCCAGAGGGAAGAATGAGGAAAAGGAAGCATTCCTTGGTTATCTCAGATGAAAGGGAGTTGAATTCTTGGGGTAAGCGATTTCACCTACCACAAGGAATTAATTTTTTAAAATATCTAAAAAGATATCTGTCTAGATAGTAGAGATTTTGAGGAGAGAGATGAAAAGACTCTTTTTTTTACAGAAAAAACTTTTCCAAAAAAAAAAAGGGAGAGGAGGATTTTCTTGCAGAGAAAATATGAAGATTTAAAGGGTTTTATAGAAAATCAATATTTGGCCTAATTTCTTCAGATAAATTATAAAAACATTTTTAAAAAATAATTCAAGATTTTCAAAGTGTTTACCTTGAATTAGTTTGTGAAGTCCTTTGAGTGATCTTGACCCACATACTTGGGAATTAAGTTATTATCCCGGTGATGGGAGCACCGAGATCTCGTCACGTACCTCCAGCATCAGGGAGCCCCAAAACTTTGCATATTTGAGCCCTTGGTTAGAAGGTGTTGTGAACTTTGAAGTGCTTTGTTCTCTGTTTAAAGCCACTCTGCACTTGGAGTTAATTCCTATCCCGATCCCCGGGTTTTGCATATTTTCCATCTCCGCAGGTAATTCCGGCAGGTTGGATTCCAGCCAGGGCTGGTCACTGCTGTGACCAGCAGCAAACCATGTCCTGAGAAATGGAATGAAGAACTGCTGGGTGTAATTTCTCCTGACGCTGCCGTTTGGCTCAGACAGAGCCTCTAAACCCCAATATTTGAAGTCCGCCTTCAATGCCCACGTTCGTGTTTAATTTGTCGCGATAATTGCTGCACATCCTGGTGGCTTCCTGGGATTGCAGGTGGGAAGGACGGTGACTTTGGCATGGAAATGATATTAAAATGCATGTTTGGGGGTAAAGAATTGCAGGTTTATAAGTGTTTGGATGGGTTGGGTTCGTAAAACTGGGCTCAGCCCGAGTGAGAATGCATTTTACTCTCCTTGCTCAGCAATTCTCCCTGGTTTTAATTTTCTTCCGGCTTTGCAATACTCATGGAAATGTGCTGCCCTTCTCAGCTGTGTGTTTGCGTGGGAAGTGCAAAACTGGGGAATATCTGCTCTGCATCTCGTCTTGTGGTAAGGCTGAGCCCTCGTTTGCGGGCTGAGCCCAGGCCGCCACCTCCGAGCTGATTATTCACCTCCAGCAGTGAAGTCTTGAATAAGGACTAAACATCACACACACACTCCCCTTAAGCAGTGTCCTAATGACTAAAACGAAGCCTAAAATGTCCACTGGCCTCAGGAGGCACCATAATTACTGCCCTAAATCACACGAGTCACCACAGCCTTCCCAAGCAATTAAGTGGGTGCACGGTGATGAAGATGAAAGGCACGGCGATGTCACAAGGGGAGGGGAGAAAACAAGGGCAGTAGCAAGAGAGATTTTGGAACAAACAACAACAAGAGTCGATCAGTTTTGGTGGGTTTTGCATGCAAAACATGGTTCATTAAGGAATCTCATGCATAATAAGTATCTCTGGTCTGCAGGCAGCCGGACCATGGTATAAAAGCCTATAGAACAGAAGCCTCTTCCATCCTCTTCTCTTGCCTTATTCTCCCAGGTGAACAGGTAAGTCTGAACCTCCCCAGTGCCTTTTTAAATGCTAAACTGCCACTTTGATGACTGCTTTTATTTTATTTTATTTTGGTTTTTCTTTATTGTTGTTGTTGGTTGTTCTTGGTTCTTTACAAATATTGCTGGTTTGTTGTTTGTTTTTTTTTTTTTACCTCCAAGGGAAATTTAGAAAGGTTTATTTGTACCAAAAAGAAAGGCTTTATTTACTTGTGGAGCAGAGCGTGATGAGACAGGACTTGGAGGATTCTGGCAATATTATCTCAAAACAAGCAGATTTATGCTGCATTTTAGAGATTTTTAGGACCCCTAAGGGGTTGGATAGCCATGAACCTGGTTGGCTTCTGCAGAGGGACCCGTCCAAAGGATTGGGAACCCCTTTACTGTTTGGTCTTGGACAAACTTCCCATGACTGGCACTACAGTTCAGAGGCCAATCCCTGAGCAGCCTCCCAGAAGAGAAGAGAAACCTCCCAGATGTCAAAAAAATTAGGTGTAAAATGCCACTTCCACCCGTGGGTTTTGGCGTGACGGGCGGTGACCTCCCCCACCACCTCTGTAGGTACCCCATACATCTCTTACCCTCTTAGGCGGCTTCTGTGAACTTACTACGGGTTGTAAACGGTTTTAACTTTCTCCCCTGCATTTCAGCCCTGCCTCTGCCCTGGAAACATGTCCTCCTACGACCTGTGCTGCCCCACCACCACCTCCTGCGGGCCCACCCCGCTGGCCAACAGCTGCAACGAGCCCTGCGTGAGGCAGTGCCAGGACTCCACCTACGTGATCCAACCTCCTCCCGTGGTGGTGACCCTGCCTGGGCCCATCCTGAGCTCCTTCCCCCAGAACACCGCCGTGGGCTCCTCGGCCTCGGCCGCCGTGGGCAGCACCCTGAGCGAGGAGGGGGTTCCCATCAACTCGGGGCTGGGGGGCCTGGGGTACAACCGGCCCTACCGGCGCTACAACACCTACAGGAGCGGCTTGGGTGATCCCTGCTAAAGCAGGAGGGAGCAGCAGGGTTGTTGGAGTCGCGGGAATGTTGGGAGTCACGGGAATGTTGGGAGTCACGGGAATGTTGGGAGTCACGGGAACGTTGGGAGCCGCGGTCGTGGTTTGCAGGACGCGGCACTGAGCGCCCACGACCCCACCTGAGTGGAATGGTCGGGGGGCTTTGCATCTCCTCAAATCAGGCCTTTATTTTTGCTTTGTCTTATTCTTCAATCCTTTGTATTTCTGATGAAACATTTTATGGTTTGTTTTTTTTTTTTGACTGCTGTAAATGGGGCTTGCTTTGTCTCAGTGAGAAAACAAACCCGGGATGAAAAGCCATGTTAGCTCTTGCCTTCAAGCCTAGAAATGTAAACTTACACTTTGTACCTTTCTATTCTGCTTTTTTTTTTTTTTTGGCTCTCATTAAAGTTATGTTGCATCACCACCCGAGTCTCCTGCTGTTGATTTGGAAAACTTTGCAACCTTTCAGCAAAAAAAGCTCATTTTTTTTATTTGCAGAATTTCTTACAGTTCTTCTGGTTTGTACTTGGAAAGGGGGTGGACAGAGGTGCTTTTGGACACTCTGGGGTGGCAGATGTTCAGCCTAGAGAAGAGAAGCTCTGGGGTAACCTAATTGTCACACACTCCTCAGCCTTGGTGGCACCAAGACATTGCTCTCCCAGCAAGGTGGATCTCACACCCAGCACTAATTGCACTCTCCCAATTTGAAATATAATTAAAATCTGCATTTGAAAAAAAAAAAAAAAATCCCTCAAACACATTTGGGAAATAAAGAAAACCCGCCCGTTTTGGGTGTGTTGTTTTGCAGAGGTTCTGGTGACTAAATCACTTCTTCCCTCAAGCATAAATTAATTTTTGGTGTTGTTTTCTACTGTTCCCAGCAGAATTCCAGCACAATGACCACACTACACCTGGTTCTTTGCAGGAATACTCCAGATGTGCATCCATTTAGCGAGCTACATTTATTTTTTGACCAAAAAAAAAAAGGGAAATTGTAAACTAAGATGCCAAACCAAACCTCAAACTTCAGTGATTTTAAAGTTCTTTATATCAGTATTTGAATAACATTAGCAACGAAACAAGCTCCTTTCAGGTACCTTGAGGAGGACATACCTACCTGTGCTGGAACACTTTTGCCTTCAGGGGAGTTATTTGAGCAGCAGGAGTGGTGAAGAGCAAATCACAGGCCCTGCCTACACCAAAACCCCTCTCAGATCACAGGGACAATGTTCACGGGCTGAGAGACAACTTCCAGCCAGTAACCAGCAGTGAGCGCAATAAATCAGCAGTGCCAGGCAGAGAGAGCCAGCCTGGCCCAATCAAACCACCTTCAGCTCCAGGGACACCTGCTGGTTTAGACAATTTGCCACCCAGAGGGATCTGGAGATGGTGAAGTTCAGCAAAGGGAAGTGCAGAGTCCTACGCCTGGGTTGGGGCAGTTCCAGGCACGGGGAGCTCCAGGGAGGGGATTCTCACCCCCTGCTCTGCCCTGGACAGTTCTGGTGCCCCCAGCATAAGGACATGGAAGTGTTGGAGCAAGAGCAGAAGAGCCAGGGCCAGGCTGGATAGGGTTTGGAGCAAGCTGTGCTGATGGGAGATGTCCCTGCCCGTGGCAGGGGGTGGAACGAGATGACCTTTAAGGTCCCTCCCAACCCAATCCATTCCATGATTCCAGGATTCCAAACTGCAGAGCCTTTGAGGGCAGCAGCAGAGTTCTCCTCCAGGGGTCCTGGATTCTTGGGGGAACCATCCCAATAATTGGGGGAACCATCCCAATAATATGTCCCCAATAATGGGAACAATCCTGTCCGTCCCACCCCTGAGCACAGAGAGCCAAGAAAAGCAAGAGCTCCCCGAGTCTGTGAGAGCTGAGAGAAGGGAGGGCTTGAGCTTCCAGGAACTTCCAGAGGCTCAAAGCCTCTGAGGCACCTAATTCTTTGTAATGAGCTAATTAATTACAATTCAGCACGAACTGCAGGTGACGCTCCTGCCAGGGAAGCTCCCACTTTGTCCATATGTGGGTTTTGGGGTCACTTTTGTGCCTGGAGACTTCCCCCAGGGGATTACTGTGAGTAAACTCTTGTTTCAATTTTGATGAAGAATCCCTTCTTTTTTTTTTTTTCAGAAGTTCAGTCACTCTCAGGTGTCTCAGGAGGATGTTCTCACATTATGCAAGAAGCCTTAATTATAATCTGAATATACAGGCCTGTCCTTGATTATAAAAGTCTGTGAACTTCTAATTTGCTCACTTTAATTCATCTCAAAGATCAGGCCATTAAAGTCATTCTGACTGTACAATAAAGTGGCTGGAGTCAGGACAATGTTTATTGTAGCCATTTTTCAAGGGAGGCTGAAGGAATCCCTGAAAATGTCATTTCTGGGTTTTGTTTTTTATTTAAACTCACAGCCAGATTTTAAAGGTGTTTTGTGTTTTCCAAGCAAAGCTTGGGTGAAGGAAGAATCAAAAAAAAAATTGATGACAATACACTGTGGATGCTGTTATGCAAATTAATTCCTCAGATAGCTGCTAGGGTGGAAATTATTTCTGAAAAAGGCTGCTAATCCTTTAAAATATGGAGAAGAACTGAGGAATGGACAGGGCTGGTGAAGCTCAAACCAGCCAGGGAAATTTCTTTGTGAATCTCCTTGAAACAGGAGATGGTTTAAAACACAAACCTTGAGCTTTTTGCACTGAATTTCAAACCAAACAGAACAGCTGTAATTCCTGCAGCCAGGAACAATGACATGAATTCTACAGCCCAACTACTGCCCTGCACTCCCCAATCTTAATAACATGTTAGTAAACAAGTGATACGAGAATTCAGATGTAGGTGACGTATCTTAAATTTGCACATCCTGCCCTTCTTTGCATTCTGCCTCTTTAATAAAGCCTCTGATAAACCTTGAAGTTCTCAGGAACTCCTGACCAAGCCAAACAAGTTTCTGTTCCCAGGGGATCTTTGCAAAGACAGCCCCAATTTCGGGCTGATTTACATGTCTCGGTAGCTGCAAGGAGGGCAAATCCTCAGGACTAATCTCCATGTCTGGAATTGCTCGTGGATTTTACCCCTCTGCCATTTCTCCCCCTTGGAGAAGAGGCTCCATTTCATTTCTTTGTGCTGCTGGAAAGCCATGGAAAAATCAACTCCAAGTGAGGAAATTACTGACACTTTACGGGCTTTTGGCAATTCTCCAGCTGGGTCCATTGGTCTTGAAGTCATCAGTGCCAGGCACCGCTGGGGAAATGGATGTTGCAATAAAATAAGGATTATTTAGGTTGGAAAAGCCCTCCAAGGTCATCAAATCCACCCTGGTCCCCATCCCCACCTTGTCCCCCGGCCCAGAGCACTCAGTGCCATGTCCAGTCGTTCCTTGGACACCTCCAGGGCTGGAGAGACTCTCTAGGAAAGGAAAGATTCTTGGATGGAACTTCTGCCTGCACAGCTGGGTTTGGCAAAGCTTCATCTGCTGCAAAACTCCTCCTTGACAGCAAATCTCACCAAGCAAAGCAACCTATTTATTCAACCTAAACACAGCTGCTGGTATTTTGAGCTCTGAGATGAGAATGAACGTAGATTTGTGGATTTTTTTTTTTCTCCAAAGAGATCAGGCCCAGGATTAGAGACCCAGGAGAGCTTTTTTGGGGGCTGTAGTTGGGTGAAAATCGTGTGTGCTCTTGGCAATTTATCTGTAAAATTCAGTCTCCCTTTTTCCTTTCCTTAAAAGGAGGAATTTTTGTTGCTGGAAAGGGTGGTCAGGTCTTGGCAGGGGCTGCCCAGGGAGGTTTGGAGTCCCCACCCCTGGAGGTGCCCAAGGAAGGACACTGAGTGCTCTGGGCTGGGGGACAAGGGGCACAGGGGGCCTTGGTGACCTTGGAGCTCTTTTCCAACCTCAGGGATCCTGTGAAAAGCTGCTTGAATCCCCCCCCAAAACTCATGGATTGACTTCCAAAAGCAGCAATTCATGTTTTCCACCAGGCTTTGGGTGCCAGGGACTGCATTATGCAAATGATGCTTAATCTCCTTTAATGACCCCAAGCAGACCCAGAAAGGGTTATGAAGGCAGAACAAACCCTTCTGAATTAAGCATTCTGCTGTTCCCAGGAACTAAGCTGGCCCAGAATATTTCAAGATGAAACAATCCTGTGGTCAGATATACATGCCACAAGATAAGGAAGTGAAGGAGTAATAAACACAAATACTGAGGCAAAAAAAACATGTCATCAGTAGTGGCTCATAAATAACTCCATACACAAAGAGTGGCCCAAGTTGTTGGGCAACTTAAGGCTCAGTATAAAAACCTGAAGCAACTTCAGGCTCTGCCAGACATTTCTCTTGCCTTCTTTGCTGTGAATAAGGTAAGTCTGAAGCCATTTATTCTCTCTTTATACACTGAACTATTGCCTTGATGGTTCTGCAGCTTTTCCTCGCTCATTTTGTGGCAAATTCAGCGCTTTTTTTCTCTGGGGGAGGAAGGGGTTTTGATAAAAAAGTGAGTTTTCATATTTCATATGGTGGTGGGGAGTTATAATAATCATTAATATGCCAACGAGCCACATTCACCATTTAGGGCTGTTTTTCAGCTTTGGGATCCAAACAAGTTTCCAGGTCCTGCAGCTGCCCATGAAATATCTCTAGTGAGTTCTTGGGTGTGTTCAGAGCTGTGTGACCAAGTTCCACAAGGACCAAGCGTGGAAGGTTCAGGCAGGGACAGAAGATCAGCAGAACAGAATCACAGAATGTACTGAGTTGGAAGGGACCCACAAGGACCATCGAGTTCAACTCCTGGCCTTGCAAAGACCCATCTCCAAGAGTCCCACCCTGTGCCCCAGAGGATCATCCAAACCCTCCTGGAGCTCTGGCAGCCTTGGGGCTGTGCCCACTGCCCCGGGGAGCCTGTTCAGTGCCAGCCACCCTCTGGGGAAAGAACCTTTCCCTGAGATCCAACCTGAGCCTGCCCTGACACAGCTCCAGCCATTCCCTGGGTGCTGTCCCTGCTCACCCAGAGCAGAGCTCAGTCCTGCCCCTCCTCTGTCCCTGCCCAGGCAGTTGGAACTGCAGGGAGGTCTCCCCTCAGTCTCCTCTTCTTCAGCTGAACACACCCAGTGCCCTCACCAGGCTTCAAATCAAGACCCTTCCCCATCCTCATTGCCCTCTTTTTGGACTCTCTGTAAGGGCTTAATATCTTTCTTATATTCTGGTGCCCATCTAGAATTTGGTTTCCTTCTCAACAGCTCCTGGAGGGATCTCTGGGAAGCCCCTGTTGTGATCCCTCTGAGCCAGTGCAGGAGCAGCACAACTCACCTCTGACCACCCCCCTCCCCTGTTTTTCAGGTTCCCTCCCTCCCACCCCACAGCCATGTCCTGCTACGACCTGTGTGCCCCCACCTCCTGCGGGCCCACCCCGCTGGCCAACAGCTGCAACGAGCCCTGCGTGAGGCAGTGCCAGGACTCCACCGTGGTCATCCAGCCCTCGCCCGTGGTGGTGACGCTGCCCGGGCCCATCCTGAGCTCCTTCCCCCAGAACACCACCGTGGGCTCCTCGGCCTCGGCCGCTGTGGGCAGCGCCCTGAGCGCCGGGGGGGTCCCCATCAACTCGGGCAGCTCCCTGGGATTGGGGAGCTTTGGCTACCCGGGGCTGGGAGGTGGCTACAACCGGCCCTACCGTCGCTACGGCGCCTTCCGCGGCGGCTTCTACGGGCCCTGTTAACGTTTTCTGTGAGAGAGGGAAAAAAAAAGCGGGAAGAAATCACCAGGAATTCTGAAGCACCGCCTGACACCGGACTGAGCTCACGGCCGCGGTTTGCGGACGTGCTGTTGGACACCCACGACTTCACCTGGAGGCCAAGGGAGCTGCGGGAGCTTCGCCTCTCCTCAAATCCAGGCCTCTGCTTGGCTTTTTGTTGGGCTTTACCTGATGTTATCTGATCAAATGTCTGTCTTGTCCTGCTTTTGTGTTTGTATTTGTATTGTTAGAAATTGCCCTGCATGGCTGATTTAGTGCAGTTCACTCAACCAGTGAAGAAGGAAGATTTCAGGTTGCTGAGTGTGTTGTTGTGAGAGGGATGAGTGGGTTCTGTCCTTACTGGACCACAGAAATGTGCTCCTTACCTTTATATTCCATTCCTCAGCCTCATTAAATTTGTGTTGCATCCTACTCCGAGTCTGTCTGTCCTTCTTTCTTCTCCAGCCCTTCACGCCCATCTCCAAAAGACAAAGAATCAGATTTCAGTTGTGGAAAACGATTTTTCTTTTGTCTGTACATTTGAAATCAAGCCTGAGACCACTGACCAAAGGTCAGAAATAGATGGCCTTCACCTGCAAAGGGTTGAGACACAAACAGGTGATTTATGAAGATAAGATGCTTGGGAAGATCCCTCTAAAAGGAGGGAGCTCATCTGGGTTTGGTCAGGGAAAGGGTGGTGGGAGAGCTGGGTAACCCCCTTGAGTTCAGCCTGAGCTTTTTGGTGGGTGCCAGCACCTTTTGGCAGCTGAGCTCAGACCACCCTGGTAAGTCTGGGAGGGGAAGAGAAGAGGGATGTGTCATGTCCTCACAAGGGAATTGGCCTTGGGAATTTCCTGGCCTGGGAAGCACATCTGGGAGAAAGAGATTAAAGGACAAAATTCAGAAGATTTTGAAGCTCTAACCCTTTCTTAATGTGCCTTTATAACCTGTCTCCTATTTGTTGTGTCTGGTAAAGCTGAGCTTTATCAGGCATTGCTTTGTTCCAGCTGGATTGTGCTGGAATAAAGGTTTGGAGACTGGGAGCTTTGCTCCCTGAAGGAAGAAGGTTTGGAAAAGCTTTGCCTGAAGGCTCTGGGTGACTCACCCTCCTGTCAGCCCAAACAACTCCCAGCCTGGTCTCTGTAAAATGTCTTGCTTGGAGTCTTTGTCTGTGTCTGTCCAGACTGATGTTGAGCTGTAATTAAAGCCAGGGAAAGCTGTTGATGAAGGTGCATTGACTGCAGTCATTAGTGGAACGAAATTAAAGGATGTGCAGGAAGACCATGAAAGAATTAATAATTTTAAGGAGTAGGTTTTCTTAATAAACAACAGAAGCAAAGGGAAAGTTGGCAGTTTGATGTTCTAACACAGCACGAGGTCGGTCTGAATTAAATGTGTAATATAATTTTTGCCACCTCAGCTGAAGTTTTTGCTTAATCAAAGATGATGAGCCCCAAAGACGTCAATGGCTGCAAAGAGTTATGATTGAGGCACTGCAGTGAAAGTGTCTTTAATATATTCAGGTGGATATTTCTCATGACCAAGTGCATTTTTCTCCTCTTGCAATTCTCTTCTCACCAACTGAACCAAACCTCTTGCTGGAGTGTAACCCCTGTGAATGCAGATCCCTCCCAAAGTTGGGAATGTTTCATTCAGAAATTGTATCACAGGGGTCTGATTTGCAGCTCACTTCAAAATTACAAGCAAAGACAATCCTCAAGCACCATTTCCCCCCTTCACTCCTGTCCCAGACTGCCTTTTTTAGGTCAAAATTTGGTGTAGCAACCAGTAAAGCACAGTCCCAAAGCAAAAGGTTTCCCTGTTTGGTTTTGTAGTCAACCAGAAAGTGCTTTTTATTCACTACTGCAGAATTTGAGCTGGATTATCACGTTACACAGGAAGTTTTCTAGGCAAGACGAGCTCAGGGGCTGCCTCCCACATTGTTTTTGTGTGTTATGGGGCAGCCACATCTTCTCAGGGCAACCTCTGCCAGGGTCTCCCCACCCTTACAGGGAAGAATTTCTTTCACAGAGCTGGAAAATGTTGGTCCCATAGGAAAAAAAAAATAATAGAAGAGGGTTTTTTTGCAGGACTCTGAAATATTTTCTGCTCCTTGTCAGTGCAAATGTGTTCCCTCCCCTCAAATTCTGCAGAGGGATATAACTGCAAAATATAATCATAACAGTATAAATAAATATATTATAAAAAATACAGTCTAATTGCAAACCACCAGATTCTGCAGGCAGAAATGCAGTGTCTGCTTTGTGCACAGGGATGGGAAAGAGGCAGAAGGCTCAGAAGAGCTTTTTAGAGCTCTCTCAGGCTGCCTGGAGGATCTGAGGCAGCCCTGCACATTTACTAACCAGCCCCTACCTGAATTGTTGCTTTGATTTGCATCTGGGCTCCCAGGAGTGAAATTGGGTTGTTTACTGTTTGTGTTGATTGCCTGGACTCCTCGTGGCTGTGGATGGAATCCACAATCCACGGATTCAAGGCCTCTTTCATCTCCTGCTTTGCATCCACTGAATATTCCTGACTCCCTTCTGCTGACTCCACCTTCCCAAATGGCCGTGAGTCAAAATCCTATTTGCTTAGGAATTTTGTCTGCTCCTTGGCACTTTAGTCAGACACACTTTAGGAGCACCACCTGCTGTCGCAGCAGGAGCTTTAATGGAAGTCCTGAGTGTGCAATTCCAACCCTGATAAGTGACCGTGAGATTCAGGATCACTGACCTCTGTAATATTCCAATGAGCAACATCCCAAAGCTTTCAGCTCCTGGGATGAGAGGATTGGGCCAGCCAGACTAGTTGGACACATAACCACCTTCAGAAAGTGGACTTATGACTCCTTTTATCAGCTCTGTACCTTTTGATGAGTTGCTTTTCAAAGCCACAAGCTTCTCTTATATCAAGAGGTTGTTATTGTTATAAAGGAATGTCAGAGAACCCTGGAATGGTTTGGGTGGGAAGGGACCTTAAAAATCATCTCATTCCACCCCCTGCCAGGTTGCTCCAACCTGGCCTTGGACACTTCCAGGGATACAGGGGCAGTCACAGCTTCTCTGGGCAACCTGTGCCAGGGCCTCCCCACCCTCACAGGGAACAATTTATCCCTAATATCCCACCTAAACCTCCTCTCTGTCAGTCTGAACCCACTCCCTTGTCCTGTCACTCCATCTCTTCTCCAGAGTCTCTCCCCACATTCCTTGTAGCCCCTTCAGGTCCTGGAAGGCCCCAATCAGGTCACCCCAGGCTGAACAATCCCATCTCTCCCAGCCTTTCTGATGGATCAGAGCTGCTCCATCCCCTCTGCTCAGCTCCTCTGGAGTGGCTCCAGCAGCTCCATGTCCTCCCCAGGGCTGGATGCAGCCATCACCCCATGTCAGACGTGGGGGTCATCACATGTCGGGACACCCAGTGACTCATGAGTGGAACTGGTTTTTTTTTTTTTAACAGGTCACTTTGTGCAAGCACCGATTTGTATCTCAAGTAGAAAATGGAGGGACTCGAGTTTCTGGGGAAGTTTGTGACTGTTCATCAGGAATCTTGGTCAGCCATTTGAAAGCTGGTCATGTTCAAAGAGCGTCCCAAAGCTGCAGAGTTGGCTGATAACTCACCATTTGCATGTCTGAGTGGTCGATGGGAAGGGTTTGTGAACTTCTGCAAGACTTTTGTTCTTCAAAAGTGCACAAACCAGCACTTATTTCCCAGGAGATGTTCAGGAAGATACTCCCAGTTCAGGGGTTGTTTTGCATGTCTCTGCCTCGGTGATTTAAACACGAGGAGAGCTTGGAATACTGATCCCTGCCCTGGAGGCTGCTTGGGCATTGCCTGCAATGGCTTTTTAATCTCGGAATTGCCTTTGAAAAGGAAATGGAATTGTTGCACTTTGCGAGGCTCTTTGAAACACGCAAAGGGGAAGCGACAGAATTCGCTTTCAAAGAGGGGAAAAAGAACATTAAAAAAAACTTCTGTAAGTGGCTGCTATTAATTTGGGGAACAACTTTGCCTAAGAGTGCAAGGCCCAGTAGGGGAAAGTAATAATTTAATGGCAAATGTAAAACTCTTTGGCGTCTTTAATGACCCCAAAGCTGAGCTTGTGCAAGACTCTGAGTGTCTCTGACCAGCCTAAAATTCACAGGCATCCCCCATCTGACCTGGATTGTTTTCCTGGGGTTTGATGTAGGAAGAAAGTTAAACTGCAGACTCTCAGATGAAGGACTTGGACACTCATTCCCAAATTGAAGAGCTGTGTCTCAAATTCCTTCACGGAAGTGAAGTGGTTTATTATTAAATGAATAGATCAGATGCTGCTGGTACTTTTTCATCCTGTCTCCTGAGTCAAGAAAATAAAATATGTTCCCTCAAATAATCCATTTCCCAGGAGCTTTGAGACTGGTGAAGTCTAATCAGCTCCAAGTGCTTTGTGTAACTATTTTATTTCCTATTTATTTCTCTGGCTGGCTGAGAGGAATTTGGTAAACCCACAGTCCAATCCTGAGGCAGAAATAGGAATTTCTGGCCCTTTTCAGAGGGAAATGTGTCAAAAACTTCTGCTCTCCATGAAGAGAGAAGGGGGATCTCACAGGGAACTTCCCATTCTGTCTTTCCCAGTGGATTTATTCATCTGTGTCATCGGTCCTTGGGATGCAAAATAATTTCTTCAGTAGCTCAGATGAATCAGCAGGAATTAACTGGGCCCCCAAGATTCAGAGATAAAAGAAACCTCTCGAGAGGAATGCAAACATTGCAGGGAGGAAATTAAACCAAGGCAGGAAATCCAAACAGTGAGGAAAAAGTAAATCACCAGCCAGGGGTATTTTGCATCTGAGAAGTCTTTAGTAATTGGCTGGTAAATAGCACAAATTAGGTCTTAGATCCTCAGGCTCTCTGGGCCAGAGTATAAAAGGCAGCACAGTCAGAGGAGCTTCATCCACTTCTGCTTTATTCTCCTTGGTGGAAAAGGTAAGTCTTGATTTGTTTCC